ATTGACACAATGTCATTTCCAAGGAAATACATTTTATGGCAGGTTCTCTGACACATGTAAACATTTTGGCTCAATGCCATTATCTAAACACAGGCATCTCTTACTCTATCAGATCCTCTAACAAATCAGCAAGAAGCTGGTAAATATCCACACAGGACCTGCTGAGACCTGTCAGGAGAGGAAGCCTGAGCCTAGATGATATCCCATAAAACATCCCAGTGAGATGGTGTATCATAAAGCATCCCAGTGATTCTAAATCCCTATATGTAGGCAAGCAGTGGTATTCCGAAAACAGCAGAAGATCATACTAAACCACATATTTCAATAGCTATCCCCTAAACAATGACACTGGGACTTTCTGTCCTAGGAGGCTGTGGAGGCAGGCAGTATCCACAAGCCCAAAGAATGATTAGAACATTAAAGGATAATATGCCCATAAATGGATACTGTAGGAAATATGAAGGAAAGTACCCTCTAACTCCCTCAAAAATTGGTCTAGCTCCTTAATACTCCCTAACACTTATTTGCTTTCTCCTTTGTTAGGGAGTGACTATTGAGTTAGATGGACTGTTGGTCGGACATTCTTATATCCAAAACCAAATCCTACTCTGCAGTGTAGGAAAGGAAGAGAAAACTTTCTGAGTAACCAGAAGATTATTTGAATGCTATTTTAACCAGAAGATTATTTGGACATTATTTTACCATTAGTAACTTTGATCCACAATTTATTTAAGAACTGGATTTCCCCCTTTGAGGGTTTTGGGTTTTTTTTTCCCATACCAAAGTTTTTTTTTGTCTGTGGGCTCTCTAGGCTATCCCATGTAATCCTACTTTTTAAAATGGATTACCTGCAGTCTTTAAACAAAAAGATTTCTCTTCTGTTAATAAAGCTTCTCCCTGTACAGTTAATATGATGTGGACAAATCATTGGCATTTAACTGAAAAATCCTTTAAATAAAACCATATTTATTCAATGATGTTCAGTGATTAAGTTAACCAAATGCTTCCAATTAATTTTCCCCTTAATTTGCGTGAACTTCTATAAATAAAGAGCTATGCACTTAGATGGAAGAAAGATTTCCCATTTTCACTCAATATGAAGGAGAAAAGCGATAAAAATACATGACTGAATTGATGTTAACTTTAGCATAGTTATACAAGTTTGTGCTGGCTGAGCCATAGCTCTTGAAAAAAGAATTTCTGAGAATCACTAGTCAGTGGCATAATTGACTTCTGGTGGCTTCAAAAGGCCATGAACACATTTAATGGTTTTTGGCAGTTCCAAAGGCATTAATCACGATCTATGTGCAATATTAAACAAAGCTCCTTCAAAATGAATATAAATTAAGACTGTAATTCCATCTCAGCCTTCTGGTGACATGAGGAAACCACTTGAGTTTCACTCTCATGGTTTATGATGTCCCCAGAAGCCTTTGATGGAATTATAGCCTTATTAAGTAGAGTTGGGGTACATTATTCCTTAAATTATTGCAACTACAAGTCATTATTCCCACTAGAAATTAGAACTCGCTGTACTTTCATCAACCCTGTAATCTTGAAGTAAGTTGGGGGGAATTTCATGTGGGAGGGTATCTGTTTTTAGTTTCTGTCACTACTATACATGCACAGCTTGGTAAAGTTGTTAACATCTAATATGAGCAGCCCTCAAACCTTTTTGTTTTGTTTTAAAGAACACTATTCACAACAATATAATTGAATCATCATCGATGTTTATATAGCTCTTTGTAAGAATTTCAAGTCAATTTCTTAACCTTTTTTATATAAGATCATTCACCCACCAATGACATAAAATAGGATTCAAAAGAGAGATGATGGTGGGGACATACAGAGAGACTTTCAGGGAGGCATGATATAAGCATTTCAATATTTCAGTAAAGACACATGCAACCATATCCTGAGTAAGAAAGAAAGGTGACAGGCAATCTCTGATTCCTCAGAATAGGTCAAGCCTTCACCTGAAGTACAAGAGAACAAGAAAAGGAATTTTTGGTTTCCAGTTTACAGCATGGGTAAGAGCAGTGGTGCTGAGGAAGAGCAAGGCACATACTGTATCAGGGTGATTGTTTTGGAGGTCTCACATTATTACCTGCAGACCATGGCCCACAAGAGCAGTGCTCCTATATGAGAGCTGAGAATGCTGGAGAGGCTCCAGCTGGTCTAGGACCCGTGATGGCTCAGGAGGATGGACTGATCTCTCAGCCAGTACTGTCCATACCAAATCCTATTTAGCTGATAATATCAAAAACAGGGGTAGTGTATGGTAGTGCAAGTTGAATATTTCTATTATGAGCAGGTCTGACTTGACATACAGTTCTGTAGCATTTCTTAGTTTAAAATAATGAAGCTGTCTGGAGAAAATGTACAGTATTTATAAAGCATGATTCTAAGATCAGAATTTCTCTTCTTTAATGATAGTTTAAATCATCACAGCCTTACCAGTTTACTTGGTTTTGTGTATTAGCTTCTTTCGACAGCTTTCACAATGCCTAGGCTTTTAAATGCTGGTAAGTATTTTTCAATGCCACATAGTGAAAAGAAAACGTGTTAAAGAAAACCCCTAGTGTGTGTATATATACACACATAATTAAGCCTGAAGGATTTCAGAGCTTTTATTCTCTTTTTTTGGGGGGGGGGTTGGGTTTTTTTTGTTTGTTTGCTGGGGTTTTATTAAGTATGCTACTTTGAGGAAGGAAGATTTCTGTACCCTGTTCTCCCACAGCTTCCATAACTTTTCATATTGTAAAAAAATATATAACTAAGAAATGATAAAGCTTGTCACCATATTGTGAAGTTCGTATAAAATTTTGTGGGCTTCTGGCAAAGAAGGAGTCTCCCTTTCAAGTGAGTCTTAGACGAAGAATCCTTGGTTAGTTAGAGAAGTTATATAAGGCATTTATTTGCTTCTCCAACAATGGGTTAGAAAATGTTATCTTATACTGAAGTAACACACTGAACGACATATTTAAATTTCAAGATGCTATATTGCTCAAATTTTTGGAGGGATTGTATTTGTACCAGTGTAGAAGTCCTGTTACATGCCTGTAAATACTTTTGACTTGAAAGGACATATGCAATATACTGAAATATAATTTATTTTGTAAGTATTTAAAGAGTTGTCATTTGGGGTTCTGATTTTCGAAGGACCAATAATTTTTTATTCATACTGAGGGCTTGCTTTTCAATAAAGTGTGGCATGAAACGTTATAAAGCAATACACACAATTGGCCTGCTTTTTAAAATCCATTAATAGTTTGGAGGTGTTTACAGACAAGGGATGGTTGGTTTAATAAAAATGATGTGTCAGGGCTGGTGTTAGAATCACACTGAAAGACAGACTTATCTATTAAGGTAAGACAAATGTGATCAACAGAATTTTTCTAATACATACAACTCAAAAGTATTTTACATCTGAGCAACCAGGAAGCACTAGGGTAATTCCATAACTGTAGCTAATGTGTAAAATCCTGAGAAAGCAGTGATACCTACTAAATTCCATATGCCATTTATATCAGCAGTGACAGGGAACGTAGACATGTTTTATTGGTTGCAGTTTTTTAATCTAATTATGCATTGCTTAATATTATGAATGTACATAAATTTGCCTTTCAAGACTTACACATTTTAGATTTAAAGCCCACTACAAACCCACACTGAGAGTCAAAGGGAACTGTGATGGATAACAGGAAGTATTTAAAAGGAACTTCCCTGTTTATAGTAGTCTTGTCTAAATACAGAGATATTATTGGTCTAATCCAAGACCTTACTTCCATGGTCAGCACAAGAACTGAAACATTGTCTTCTGGTCTCAAATATGTGACCCAGCTATGATGCTATTTGCTTTCCAAACTCTTTCCTTTACTCCTTCCTGGTACTCTGGGAACATTTCATTAAGGGTATCTTAATTAAAGATTTCTGCATATGCCTGACTCTAAGCATGGAAGCTTTGGGGTTTTTTTGTAAGCTCCAGTCTCAGAGAGCTATTTACTTTGATTGCTGGGGAGCTGTAGTAGGACACCAATTGACTTTTATTGTAGTATGTCAGAATTTATTAGATTATTGATATGTAACTTCTTCATGGAAGGGATTTAAAAGATGAATGGGTGGATTCCAGTAATAGCAATCTCACAGGGCTGCCTTGCCAACTTTATCGACTATCTAAACGTTCAGCTTTCACTAAAACTTAACTCACTTTTCAGTTCTGGAAGAAAGGCAACCTCTATCAACCTGCTTCTTCCAGGCACTGACCTGAAAGCAGTGCTGAGGATGTTCTTCCGACCATGTTCTTGAAGGCTCTTTACATTCTCTTGTGCCATTAACAGAGAGATTTGTAAATTTTTAAGTACTGAGAATTGCACTTTTTGTCAATGCAGAGAAAGATGGCACTTTGTTTCACAGTCCTGGAGTGTTATATGGTTACTAAAAATCTGCCGTTTTCTAGGAGTGCTTACTGTAGGATTCATACTTTTACAGGGAATAATTACAGGTGTTCAATTTCCTAGTGCCCCTTTCATCATCAAAATTTCATCACAACCCAGTATTCTCAACTAAACTAATTTTGTAAAGTAAACACACAGAAAATAACCCACGTCTGATTCAACACCGTAGTTTGCTTGCTTATGCAGGTAATGCATTGCAAAATTTATCCCATTGCCTTGTGCTAAGGTATAAATATGAAAATATGGTATTTAAACATTGAATACTGATGTGCAGGGTATGAGTTTAACATCTTGCATATTTAAAAGTGTATTTGAAACTTTTGGTGAATCTCAGGTATAGTGATAGAATTATGAATTTTATTTCTTTTCTAATTTAGCGTACGGTTCCATTGCAACCACTGTCAGTAGTTTTCACTTTTTTCACTAAATTGAACTAAAACTTAGAGTTGAAATTCCTCCTATACCAATGAAAAACATAGTTCACAATAGCGAGATTTTAAAAGCTGATCAGATAGTCTCTTGTTTCCTCCCCTGGCTATGCAGTGGGACCCTACTGAAGAGGAGCTCTGCAGAAACCTGCCTCATGTCCAGCATGACTAGGAAGGTATGCAGCTAGGCAACAGTCAACCTGTCTGAAGCAAGTACTGAAAGAGACTGCCTTCTCTGAAACTTTGGTTCAAGTATTTTCAGTCTCAACATAGACGGATATTCTTAAAAATTTGCAGTAATTGTTAATTTAGACTGTTTTCAATCCATATAGCTCCAATGGGCCCTGCGGCATTATTTTATACATGTAATACTTGTGTATGTGAGCAAATACAGAAGAATTACTTCACTAGTTAGAATTTTTTCTTCAGTTACCAAAGCTGGTGCTACCTCTGTAGTCCATGAAAGTATCCAGTCAACAGGTTGTGACAATACTAAGGAAAACTGGAGAGTAGAAATTTAGAATATTTGAAGAGTGACAGTTTTGTTACAGTTCTGAGGATCCTTTGAGGTGATAAATTAATGTGAATATTGATATGATAGGATATTTTTCATCTTTTTATTTAGCATACTCATTTCTACTTAGCTTTTTTCCTTGTAAGAATCATCATTGAAATAAGGGGGCCAAAAAATTGTCTGAATATTGGTGCATCACTATCTACTTGAAGATATGCATAGGCTGTATGCACATTCAAACAGCTCATAGAAACTTCTGGATTTGGGAGTCAAAGTATAATTATTAGCATATAGTGCATTCAGATTTATTTTATATGGGTGTTCTAGCTTGTGAATATACACACTCTCACTGCAGAAGTGAAGACAAAAATCGGGCATAGAATTTTAGCAGTTTGAAGAAGAAAGAAGAAAGAAGAAATAGTTAAGCAGTGGCCACCTACAAAATTCCTGTCAATTTGTACTTTTAACCTACCTGCCTCATTTGTAAAAATTTGTGATTCTGACAGAAAATTATGAAAGTGATGAGTGGAAGTTAGTAGGGAAAATCTAGCAGTTGTTATTGCTAGCATTTATTAAAAGGCAAGAAAACCTGTGTAAAAAATTCGTATCAAATAATATGAAGGATTGAACAGGATAAATCTTAATATAGTTGGTCATCACAATAGATGATATTCCTTTCAGATCTGCAGATCTTGGAAAATTTGCAGGGAAGTGAAATTACTGTGGATAGACTGGTCCTGCTACTGATTAACTCTCTCTACAGTGTCTTTTTGGCATAAAAATATGCTAAAAGGGCATGTTCTACATATGGCATCAGTTTGACAGCTGAAATAATTAAAATAGGTTTTCAGAGTTGTGGGTTCATTTGTTTGTTGTTTTATTTTCATGTAAGCTCTAATACTGACCCACTTCCCACAGGTGTTAACTGCTGAGTTAGCTTTGTTAACTTCCATGAAGCTACTTTGGTGAAAATGTAGCCTCTAAAACACATAATTTAGTCAAAACATCTCTGCAGTACTTTGGAAGGGCATCAAGGGACTCCATGTGGATGAGTAATACAAAGACTAGACCTGGATTGTTTTCAAAATGCTATGATAATATATGTACTTATTTATTTATTTATTTATGATCATGGGGTAAATAGTGGGAAACTTATTAAAAAATGAAAAAATAGAGTAAATGGTAATGGGTTAGAAGACTACTCCTTCCAGTGGTCTGTTTAACCTCACAGTTGCAATTTTTATGAGCTAAATTAATGCTGAGCTCTCTCTTCCCTTACTAAACTGGAATATCTGTATTAGGAAGGAAAAGAAAATCAGTCTGGGTATTCTACTTAGTATATTTTGGAAAAGGTCTGTGATATGGTGTGCTTTTGTGAGATTAAAATATGAAAAAGTGTGAATTTTGCCTAATGAGAATGATTATAAGAGCTCATGAAAAAGCCCAGATATTGCATGATATAACATCATGTTACGTATCTCATGTTTTGAACATTTAAAGTTCTATTTTATGGATTCTATCAGCAGGGGATCTAATGTTAAGCAATATGTTTTAATGGAGTTGCTGTTGTTCTTCTCTAATGGGGAGATTATAAAATTATAATTAGTGTAATGCTGCCTCTATTACACAAAATGACAAAAACGCCATTTACTTCAACGGGAACAATATTAAGTATGCTGTCGTAATTAACCTTCTCCATCCCTCTTTTAAACTTGCTCCTCTCAAATAACCATGGAATGCTTTACAGTTGGTAGCAGAGATTAGGGACAGATTAAACAAAATAAAAGAGGCAGATGTAGCTGATACCAGTTAACAGAGCAACTCTGACACACGATCCTCAGGCAGCGAGGTTAGAAAATAGGCTGAAATGAACTGAACATGATGGGGGAATATCTTGTTTTTCACAGGCTTTGCAGCATCTCTTTGGAATTGTGCTGATAAATTGTGCACGAAGATTCTTTGTGTGTCTCGCTAGAGTCAGCAAACCATTTTTATGAGAAATGGATGGGGAGGGATGCTGCTGAATGAAAAAGAAAAAACAGAATAAAAAGAAGTGAGACATCATTATTGATCATTACGGCAGCGTTACTGACCCCACTGCCAAACTTAGCATGCTATCCAGAAACCTGTATTTTGAAGAAGGCAAAAGCAAAGTTGAAACTTACCTTCTTTGTAAATACTTAGGGAGAAATAATTTGCAAATGTAAAAAAAGTTAGGAATTTTAATGTCAGTTTTATTTCCAGTTGTAAATCCAGGAGTTAAATTTTCTTGAAATTCACAAAATGAACTGCCTCCTGTGGAAACTAGATTAAATACAAGATGTATTTAGTTACCATGAACACTCTGATCTGGTCTTCACCTCACTCACAGGAATATATTTTCTCTCATGTACTTCCTTTTTCTTTATTTGGATCTCTCTTACAATTTGATCCATAACTTTAAATGCACAAAGCATGGTAGCATCAACAGGATATTGAAAGTACAATACCCTTCAAGGATGGAATAGCTAAAAACATTAAGGAAATGTGTACATGTAAATCCATGTGCATTTTCTCTTTTGACAAAACCTAATTTAAGTGAATCAAAAACTGAAGAGTAAACAAAGCAGTGACGTTTTAAACTTAGTCACTACAGAATGTATGAGGTCAAATCACATACTGACAACAAAATCAAGCATGGCTTTCCCTGAGGATAAGAACACTCATCTGCAAGGGGACAGAGTCTCAACACCAATGAATATTTATGTATTTTGTAGGTTTATTGTTGAATATAGAATACGAGCATTCATTAGTGCAGGAACTGCAACCCCACTTTCCCTCATCCTAGGTAAGTGTTTAGATCATTAGACACTAAGGTCATATCCAGCCCTCAGTATAGGCTATGAATATTTCACTATACCATGGCAAAGTGAAACAATTTCAGCGACAGGAAAAAAGTGGTCTGCTCTGCTTTGAAACAAAAATCCTTAAATTCAAATATTTATTGTATTTTTCAGGTTTTTTTCCCCAAAACATTTGGATGCACGTTTATGCTCACAATTTGTTTACTGTAAAATATATGTGTTTAAATTACACATAGCTTTTATATATTGTTTAGCTACCAGTGTCTTTATTAATTAAATATAAAGATGTATCAATAATATAGATCAACTCTTTTTATTTACAAATAAAGCTTGACTACATTATATACAGTACAGTATATAGTCTTGGCAGCATGGCTACATTATGACTGAATACATTAAAAAATAAATTACTTCTCTCAGCAACTGCATTCTTTCTGAACAAACACTACAGGTACAAATGCACCTGGTTATGGGACCAGTGTAATTGAACATTGATTGATTCAACATCCTTCTTGCCTTTATTCAGAATCTTATATTCATGAAAATCAGCTGTGACTTTCTGCAGATCACCACTAGTTTGCATTAAGCTTGGCTGAGTTATTCCTCTGAAATATAAATATTTAATTTCTATATATCAAGATGAGAACTTCAGGTTACTTCATGCTCTGTATTCCAGATTTTGGAGGATTTGACAAGTATTTCAGTTTTAGTATATTTACAAGAAAAAATAACCATACAATATATCTCTTCTGTTTCAGTAACTATGAATTAAATTATGGAGATATAGACTAGACTTCTTTCATAAATTTGTGTCTTCCTTTTACAAACAGTTTAGGAATCCTTATTTGTTATTGCTTCTTTTAACAACCAAATGTTCAAATAGCTTTGAAACATTTTAATGATACTTAGGAAAAAGTTACCACAAGGAAAACATGATATACATGCATGATACCATTCATGTAAGTTTATATCAGTGCCTATATTTAGAGATTAAAGTAGGATAAAATTAGTGAATAGTGTTTTCAGTTTCCCATCTGCATTTATAAAATTTCATATTAATGCTGTTTCGGAGTCACAGCTTGATAAAAGTTATGTAGGGATGAAACATTTTGGATACGATAATAATTTGAGAAACGTCTAACTATGGTTCCTTTTCTAGTTCGAAAGCAGTCTAGGTAATTTAAAATGCAAGATGTAAATGCACCTCATCTTCTGCTTCTACCTGAAATACAGTGGAAAGCTTTTGTTATTTCTAACCTACTGAAGAGCAAAGAGAACTGGGAATTTTGTGACTGTTTCATTAAATTAATCTCCATTCTGTTTTGTAACCCAAATGTTTGCTTTCCAGATCTGGCACTTAATATCATTTGCACCAAAATTGATGAGTGTTGTCCAATTACCTATTCTTCCACTTGAATAATAATTGAGTTCTGCTTAAGGACTCTTATGCATTGTTTGAATTAGCCTGATGGAGCTCTGCAAAATTTCTCAGGGGCAGTCACAACATATTGTGCTTGTGAGACTGCTCCACAGATATAAACAGAATTATGAACCATATTTTATCCAAGTGCCATGGACAGCTGGATTCTTCTTACACCTATTTTACACTGGTGGAGTTGCTTGTCATGTAGCTTATTGTACATCAGAACAGAATCAGGACCTTTGTGCTTCAGAGACCAGACTCCTCTGAGATTTATGGGTGAAGTAAAATCCCTCCACTCAAACTCCAGAGAAAGGTGAGGTAAAGAAGAACATGTTATAGTTTTTCATGACACTATGCGTTGCTCACATTTATTGTTTTCTCTTCCATAGCCTCCAATTTTCTTGTTGACTCTCAATAACTGCATTGAAAGCTGCAGGATTAAACTGTGTACCAGAAACCAACCCTGTCCGTTGTCTCCGAAAGGGTTATTCACATGGTAAATAACAAGGGTTATTAAGGGTTATTAATGTGTAATTAAATGTTTCAAATGCCATTTCTTATTGAAGTTGGACATACTTTGCTTTTAGCGCTAAAATCGTAATGCTAAAGCTGTTTGGTTTCCCACTCATCTTTTGACTTCAGACATGATGTCCAACTGCGTATGTGCTGTCAGTCAGTCTTACACAGAAATTGTCAGCTTTCCTCCACAGTGGGATCACTGACCTTTCACTGCATGAGGAGGGCTGACATGACAACACACCTTCTTATAATTTCTCACAACATATACTTTTTGCTGCTACAGATATATTGAACTTCTAATCACACAGACATGAGACTGCTGGCGGCATATAACCTGCTCACTACTTTCGTTTCCCATTTTCCTTTCCTAAAAATTTTTCCTTCTTCAATTTCACATACATATATACATGATCATCCAATTGTTTCATACCTGGCTGTACATTCATTTCTTGCAACAAGTATATATGATCAGAATATATATTAATTAATAATATTAATTTAGCTTATTCTGAGAATAATCTTTGCTCATGTATTGCACAATTCTTGCTGTAGTTTGCAACAGATTTTTTGGCAGTATGAAATGGCTTAGATTCAAATTCTCAAACATATATATACAGGTCCTATCTGGATACATAAACCATCCTGATTTGAAAAGAGTTAGGCTGGGTTATTTAAATTTGAAAAACTGGATGCCATGTATGGAAGGATTTCAAGGGGCTCCACACAGGTAATGTTCCTTTATGAAGATTATCTTCAGAGTTCTCAGTGGCTTTATTGATCTAATGACCAAGATGAAATACTTGGAGAGGATGGAGGAATCATTTTGCTGTGTTGACAAGATCACGCATCATTTTTCAAGGTAGTGTCCAAAAATATCTGCTATGCACCTGGTCTCATTGTCCTTGCCTCTGCTCTTTACCATACTGATCAAGATAGAGCCAGTGTTACTAAGCCCAGTTTTATTCCCTCTGTTGTCCCTGACCTGCTGAAAAGTGCTGGGGTTCTATCCCATGGCCACTGCTCAACTGGGCACTGGGCATTAGTCAGCATCATACCCAGAGGGTCTTAAGATTGCTATTTTTGCCACCCTACCCAGTCTGGGCATAGGGGTCTCAGCAGCTGCCCACACAGCTTATGTTGAAAACTGGAGCAGATGCTGATATGATCAGTTTTGAGAAGTGATTCTTCCGCTCAGGGCAGACTCAAAGGCTAGGTGCAGGGAAGCAAATGCAGTGATCTTCACACAAAGCTTTCTGCTTCAATTTCTTCCATCTATCAGTGTCCCACAAAGTTTAACAGAAGAAAAACGTCTTCTGTAACATACAATAGGATGATTAAAAAGGAAAACTTCAGAAAGGCTCTCCTTCACTTTGAAATTGTACTCGTTTTCAGAGTTTCTATTTTACTTCTTGTTAAAATCCGGAGAATCTTACCAGAAGAAGCCTTTCTGAGGAGGGGAATAAGAGAACACCAATTTTCTGGGGACAGCTATTTGGCAAAGACATTACTAATTTATTCTGCTGCAGCTATTTGCATTATCTCTTCTCATGTTTGTTGTTTTTTTAAACCACACACCCATATCTCAGCTATGAAAAGCATGAGAAATATGAATTAGTTTTATCGATGTGGTGAAAAAATGATTAGTCAACTTGTTCTGATTTAATTCTAATATTTTATGCTATGTGATTATTAATCATTATCCATACATGTGGCTCTTTGCATAGTCTTCATGCATTTTTTACTCCTATTAGTGGACTTTCAGATGGTCATTTTTCTAGTCGAATATTCAACCTGTCTGCCCAACATGGGTATGCAGGTATGTGCATCACTGGTTCTGATTCGTAGTCAGGAGAGAGTGTTTTTAACAGGAATGGACCAAATTCTTGTAAGAAACATATTCCTGTAGTACTGGAAATAGCACTTATTCCCCTGACTGACTATTGATTTGTCATTTATACCCTGCAATTTATCAAATATTTCAGACATTTTTTGTCAAGATATCTTATGGCACACAGTACATCTAAAGAAATGGAATTTGAAGCAACACTTAATAACCACCAACACTGTCTTTTGGCAGAGGTTAATTTTCTTCACAGTAGCTGGTACAGTGCTATGATCTGTATTTGTGCTGAAGACAATGTTGACAACAAAGGGATGTTTTAGTTATTGCTGAGCAGTGCTTACACAGAACTAAGATCTTTTCTGCTCCTCACACCACCCCACTAGTAAGTAGGCTGGGGCTGCGCTAGAGATTGGGAGGAGACACAGATAGGACAGCTGACCCCAACTGTCCAAAGGGATATTCCAGCATGGTGTAACGCTCAGCATAAAAAGCTGGGGGAAGAAAAAGAAAGGAGGGACATTCAGGGTTATGTCACTGCTATGTGTGATGGAGTGCTGCTTTCCTGGAGGTGGCTGAACCCCTGCCTGTTGATGGGAGGAGGTGAGTGAATTCCGTTAACTTTGCTTGTGCACACACATTTTGTTTTACATATTAAACTCAACCCATGAGTTTTCTCACTTTTCTGATTCTTTCCTCTACTAGCCAGGGGGGACGGTGAGGAAGCTGCTGGTTGGGACTGACCTTCCTACTGAGACTAAACCATGACAACCATAAAGATGTTGCAAAACTTCAACTGGATAATCCTGGTGCCTATTTTTTCTGTGCTTGAGGAATTTATTTGTCATCTGCTGTCTTTGCAGCCACTCATATTTTTGCCAAGTTTTGCTAAAGCCAGCAAAGTTTCTGGATGCTATTATTTTCAACCAATCTGCAGCATTTAGATGAACAGGAAATGCACAAATGTGTGCTGGAGAATCTGTCATATGTGAGATATGAGCTATGTTCTTTTATCTGGTGTGTAAACATCTCTTATTAAATATTGCACTTTATCAGGATAAATTTTGTTTACTTAGGTTTTAGGGCAAGTGGGGGAGGAAAACATCTTTTCTGCATTTTCTCAGCCATCAGTTTTTCTTCAAAAGTTTTATTCTTATTAGAAATAAAGCTTCTTTATTCTCCACTGCTCTGTAGAGGTTTCTTAACATAACAGACAGACCTATTTTCAATTTATTATTGTTCCTGTTCTATGTGCTATTGATTTTTCTCTTATTTTAAACTTTTTTTAATCTTAAATGCAAAGTCTTTTTTCAGCTTCAAGGGAGCAATTCAGACAAACATTTTGCTGGTGAATAATTCAAAGCATAGCATAAGGATTTTTTGCTGAATTTGTCCTTAGCATGTTTTTAAAATTCTCTATTATTTCTTCTACAATCTTCTTACTGTTATTTCAGAACTTGTTTTGCTTCCTGTCAGAAAAACCTATTTGACTAATCACAGTTTCTTTCTATTCATGTATATTATCTTTAGGAAGGCCTTGATTCATGAGTTTTCATAAATGAGTACCAAACTTAAACTAAACTGCTATACAATATGATTGCAGAAACTAGATGTTTATGAATCAAGGCTGAAATATATAGTTTCTGGTTTAGAAGATGCCCATGGTCATTCCATTTTTACCATCTTCTATCTAGCTATGACTATGGATATAAACTTTTGTTGCTTTTACTTTCCTCAGTGTTTTTTCATACTCCCTTTTTTAAATTTAAAGCATTTCTAATTCTTTTCCTGGATGTATTTGTTAATATTTTTATTTTATTAGCATAATTACAGACCTGTGATTCATTTAGTTCTGGCATGTTAATAGAATGAACTATCACATTAAAGAGAGTATATGTATTACTGGGCTATGTTCAATGTAGGTATCCTCCTACTAGAAACAATCTTCATGAGTTTTGATAGGTAATTATAGGACGGTCCACTTCATAAGTATTCAGATATATTTTTTTGTAACTGTAGAAAAAAATCATATTGCTTACAATAAATATACAGAATAATCATAAATATACACAGTATCTCATATAATCCATAATATATACCTGTATGTGTATGCAACACCTGAAGTAAATCAGGTAACACTGATAGCAAGGTTCGGATGGCTTGATTGTTTAGTTTCATCAGATTTCCTCATAAATGTAATATAAAAATGTCTAAATTTAAAAGTTAGCCTTAAAAACCTCCCCCTTCAGTTAAAATATTACTTGGGGTAGAAGCGTTGAAACGCTTTTTGCAGTGGCAGGGTTTCAGCACTACTTTCCTTACAGACTTCAGAGAGGCCAATCCCACATAACTGTCCAAGAGTAGGCTCTGTAGAAGTGGAAATTAATCCACTGATAACGTCAGTAGTCAGGGTCTTTTAAAATGGATCCCAGATCTCCAGAGGAATAAACATTAATATTTAATAGCCCTTCATCCTACACTAATACATTTCCTGTAACAAAAAGCGGAGGAGGATCTAATTTGTTTGTGGGTCAAATTCAGATAGCAAACTATCATGCATCTCTCATTAAGCATATGCCCACCAGCTTTCATGATTGAGACATTATGACAATTTCATTTTGGTAGGTTTGTTTTGTATAAAAAAGTTTTGAATACCTTTTTCCAGTTACAAGCTTTTTGTCGTCCAACTCTGTGAATGATTTCCAAAAGTATTTACTTTCTGCAGTAATAGTGAATTCGAAAAAGGAATCCAAAAGTAAAAAAAATGTGGTTTTGAACTTTTCTTATAAGCTCCACAGTGAAAGTGACACTATTCACACATTTAAATTATTATTCAGTGACATAAAATAAACAGGTCTTTACTATGACCTGCTCATAGCTTGGAAAGAATAAACCCTTTCAGACAGAGTTGTGATTCGTTTTACAAATCCCTGTTACTACAGAGATTAAACATTGGTTGCACATAGGTTTACAATAGAAATGAATTGTGTGGAGCAGAATATTTTCTAAAAGACAAAGGAACAAAGAAATCTTTCTTTATAGGCCTTAAATGCTAAATACATTATTTTAATGGTGTCTTTTAGAATCTTTCCATTTAGTCTGAGATTCTGGCAAGTTATGGGCCAATAGCCATTTCTAAACAACTGTGTTAAAAAACTAACTCATAAAGTGCAAAATGGCTCTGGGGCCACAAAATGTTAATGACAGGGCAATAGAGATTCAAGGAGACAGTTTCAGTGCTAACATTTTATTTCCTCTATTTCTGGCAAATGCCTTAAAAGACCTCTCCATCCAGTATTGCTACTGCCACGTGCTAAATACCTCGCAGCTTTTGCAAGCTTTAACATAAGAGTTAATATTTTAAATTGTTCCAGTTTAATTTATTGAGTTAGAATGGGAAGACGTCCACCACTAATAGTATCTTAATAGTACCTCTGTTTTGTCTTCCTTTTTTATTGGGTAGGGATTCTGACCATTCCCTATGTCAGAAATATGACATAAGGCATTGAGGTATGGGGATAAAGAGCTATAACAGGAAGCCTCTTGCTGCCCTTTGTCTAATGTAAATTGTGCTTACTGGATTTTTATTTTAGCCTTTCTTTTCCTTCCAGTCTGTTGTATGGTTGTTATAGGCTCTTTGTTAGTCTTTTGTGCTGATGACTCTCATGCTCTGGCATTAGGAGGCACCTTTTTTTCCAAACTGGGATAAGACCTTTTGGCATCATTAGGGGATTGCAGTTTGTTTAAAGGGTAGGGAACTGAGAAAAGTGTTGGAGAAGTACTTGCTTTGTCACAAATAAAAACTGATGTGCTGTGAGATAAAGACCAAAGAGATAAAGGAAAGAATGGGAGTTTATTGGCAAATATGAAATCTGAAGAAGGAAGGGGAGCCCATGATTCTGCATGTAAAGAACATCTCAAAATGAGCAAAATCCTCTGGATGGGATTATAAGGAACTATATGATGGATTGTTTATTATTTGGGGAGCTTACATAAATGCATATATGAGGGCTTGAAACATGAAGGGTAAAAGGGCATAGTACCTTCATCTGTCATTAGGGGCTGCCATTACATCCATTTACCTGTGTTTCACAAAGATGAATAAGATAACTGAACAGAAGCTACAGTCTTTCTGGTAAAGAACAAGATATGTAAAACTTCGCATTAGAAACATCCAAAGGAAGAATTTATGTTCTTACTTGTGGTGACTTGGAAATGTATTAACTATGGTGACAAAGTGCAACATTCAAAAGTACTAATCTGACCTGTTAATAAGATTATTATGATGGTCCTTCATAAACTGGTTTTTGCCCATTCTTACACCTTTCACTCTTTTCTTTTTTTGCCATATCTGCAGTACTCCTGTATCTATTATTCCTCTGTTACAGCATTCTACTTTTTTCTTAAAATTCCTTATTTCTTGTTGAGGTTCACTTGAAATTTGATGTTCACAATGAGATTGGAAACATTTAAATATGTTAGTGTACTGGAATTGGTCAATATCTATCTCTAAATAAATATACAGTAGCGATTCCATTTATTCCTTCTTAGTCAAGATTTTCTCTGTAACACAGGTGAAGACACTCTACTTACTAGGTGAGAAACTGGACCAATTTTGAAGGACAAATAAATGACTGAGCCAGTGCTATATACTTTCAGGTGTGCTGTAGCAAGAGACAACCTCAAAGACAACACGTCAGAAGACTGCTTTATTGGGGTTTAGATGCTGCGAGGCATTTAAAAACAGCCTACCAGCAGTCTAGTACTATGTCTCTTGCTGCCTCTTTTCCAGTTTGTGTCTATGATGAAGTACTAGCAGAGTGTCTTTGTTTCACCAATGCAGACATTGAGCTATTTTCAGACTTGATTTCCAGCTTCCAGAACTGCATGCAAAGCAGCTGGGTGGGCAGACAGGGAAAAGGACAAGCACTTCTACTAACAGTAAATCCCCTCTTAGCTGGTGGCTCACTTATAGAAATGTTTTGTTCATCTCTGAAGCAAGATTATGAAAAGGTGGCAGTGAGTGGGCTGGAGTCACATGCTTTGCAAAATGTTGTCTATGAACATTTGTAAAGACCCAATTTTACATTCTTTCTGAAATTATTGGATTTTTAATGTATCCTTCTGTTGCTCCAGACCCAGAATAGATTTATTATTAGAGGTTAAAAGAACTTCCAAGAAGATAAGATTTGCAATATGCCATTTGAACAAATTCCTCAGCCATTCAGTATCAACAGGCTGAGGCACTGATGCTGCTACTTGTTTTCTGAGCTATAACTTATTATTTCTACGCTATGTCTCTTTATACCTTCTCCTGCAGTAGATTTGAACACAATAGCTTCATGTGAAACAAAATTACTATGGAAATGAAAAAGGAAGCACCAGAGTTGAAACAAAATGGGACAGAAAATTTTTATTCCACTATAGGTTATATGTATTTGAACTTGTGTAATGTACTTAAATGGGGATTCATAGAAGCTCATTGCTTCCCTTGATGCTGTAAAACACACATCTTCAACTTAGAAATATTCAGAAACTGAAAAATGAGAACCACCAACTACTTTGAATGGACTGCAAATAACTGTCTAAATGATTCTCCAAATCCAGCTGATATTAAAAGTATCTCATTTGTTAGCAAGAGACACCTGCTTATGTAACATCTACATGTGTTTGAGAAGTTCGTTTGTATTTCTTGGTCTCAGACTGCTAACAACCCAACAGACAAGCAGAACATAGTGAAACAGAAGCATGCAAGCCGTGCAGCATAGAATAATGAAAGCTTAGATACATCTGGGATAATGCCACATGGACTGCATTAGTGAAACATTTTCTCCCATAACATCATCTGTCAATGGTCTTGTGCAAGTGACAGAATAAAACTTCTTGTCAGTTTGATTTTTGCATATCTGTGTTTTCTTTAACAATGGCTTTTCTTCTTTGTGAATTTATGCATTACATCACAACCTGCACTCTTACTGCTTCATTATGAAAATTCAGACCATCCACATATGTTTCATCTGTACCCTTTCAGCCTGCATATTCAGAGACCCATTCTATGCATGCCTTTACAACCTGTATTGAGACATAGAATTAGTGTTCCTCTGGTGGGAGAAAACAGGAGCTTTGCAGATGTAAATATATAAGCATATCTGACTACTTGAAGCAGAAAAAAACCCCAGATTCCAGGTTATAGCTTTGCCTTTCTTGTTCATGGGTAGGCTGGAAAGCCAGGAAAAACATTATGTCCCTTGTATAGTGCCAGCTATACTCTAAAGCAATGGCTGGAAACAGCTAAGGTAAATCTGCTCAGAAGCAGGGAGTCAAGACCTCTGTACAAGCCAGGCATGAGGCAAAGAACTGCCTCTGCAGCAAAGAGGAGCAAAGGAGTACTGAGAGAAGCAATGGCTGGAAACAGGCTGAGGAATGCTACCTCTTCACAGACTATGAAGATCTGCCCTCAGGGTCCTTAAATACTTTGAATTGGCAGAAATCGGTCAAGGCCAGCTCCTGACATTCCCCCATACTCTTCATCTAGTGGCTTTGGAGAATCCTTGCAGAGAACTGTAAAAATAGCAGGCTGGTAAATTCTGAAAAGCTCTTCTGCACCTTTCAATGATGCTTCACTGTAAAGGCAGTACTGGCAATTCCAGTTCATCAGATAGATAGTTATTGCTTACAGATCATTCTTGTCATCATACATCTTCTTTAGGACATATATCCTTA